GGCTGGTCCACTCTCGTCGAACAGCCTGAACTTTAGGTTGGCTGGTGCCTGTTTGAAGTGTACAATCCAACTGGTGGAGTACTGACCCAGCTTTATGTCATTTGGGCGCGCCTGTATTGGCGCGACACCACACACTGACTGGCATTCGGTCTTCACCATTTCGCTGGTGACTCCTATTCTTCCGTCCAATGTCCGGATGTTAACCGGTACATGAGGGACCATGACAGAGGTCCAGTCTGAGGCAGGCTCAATTGTTCTTTCCTCCTTTTGGAGAGAAGCGCCAACACTCAGGATTGTTTCTCTGAGTGCGTCTGATGCACACTCAATTGCTAGGCCAGACCTAACTTGTGTCATTGCTATGATGGCTGAGGGTGTGACCCCAGCTTTTTCAGTTACAATCTTCTTTATTGTGACAGGTGACAACTTCCGCCACTGGTGTCCTTGACCTAATCGGAGGAACAGTCTTTTGTCTTCTTTGGGTGGCTCTTGTTTTTTCGGCTTTGTATGCACAACAGGTCTATGTTTGACCAGATTAACTGGCGGGTCCGGGAGCTTGGCCGGCTTCCGCGCTACAGTGACCCACGGGGAGCATTTTCGCGTGGCTTTGGAGGAAGTTCGTGGCGGGGTTTCTCGGCTGGTTTTGTCGCCCTAGGCCCAGGAGTTGGTTCTTGGGTGGTTTCGGGTGCTGGTTTCTTGCCTATGTTAATTTTGGCATTGGTGTTGCCTATCGCAAATGCTATCACGATAGGTGAAATGTTTTCTATAAGTGGCGCAACTAGGGTCGCGCCTTCAGTTCCCACCTTGGATTTTGCCCAAGCGTCAATAGTATGCAGGAAATCTTGAGCTACGCTCATTCGCTACTTTCGTTCGCGTTCTGATTGCTCCATTGCAGCAGCAATCCCAAGAAGGCTCCGGTGAAGGTGGTCGCCTGGGTCGATCGACGCCGAGGACGACGGCTGGTTAAACGTGTAACGGCTGGTAAGCCGATTGGTCCCTGTAGCCTATGTTGGTTAACTTAGGCCTGATTCGAGTGGCGTTATTGATGGCTACCAATGCGCCAATATGCGACGCCACCCAATACAATACTTTTGCGTCGGCATTTGCATGGTATTCACATGGCATCGGACTCGGCAGTGCGGCACGGCAGTACGGCACTGCACCACATGTTGATAGGCTTACACTGACTGGGAATATACGAGACCGAGTACAATCCTTCCGGACCATAACGCGATAGTGCTGTATTACAGGCATAGTCAGAACACTAGGGGAGTCCCATAGCATAGGAACAGGAGAGGGATTAGCCTTGGTGGCGAGGAGGCTTTCACGTATATAAATGAATAGATAGATGTAGTGGAAGTTCTCTCCTTAGAATTATTATTTACTACCATCGACCACATAGTTGCCCCAGCACTTGTCCCTCGAAACCGTGACAAAACGCAGCCATGATGCTGCTTGATTCTGCGCGTAATGCGATGGTTTGGAAGGTTTGATGAACGATGTTATGTGTGATTATATAAATTGAGAAGTTTATATAAATTGAAAAGTTGAGGGGGTTTTTACCATAAAGGTTTCCTCCTATGTAAATATTAGAGTACGTAGACACCTGCATGGGCCTTAAGGCGCCAAATCGGGCTAGATGAAACCAAATTCAAATAACACCAGTCCTCTCTATTTCCGTACAATTGTGTTACTATGACAACTTGACCTCCAACCGTTGCTTAGGCATGCTTCACCCTTTTATAGAGGGTCATAATAAGAACTATGACACTGATGAGTTTCCGGAACTGTAGCGGCTTGTGAGCCGATTGTTGTGGGGCACGTGATTGTATTCACGTGCTTCTATAATTCTACAGTAGTCCAGCTATATTCCAGATCAGTTCAGTTGTAACTGGAATATTCTAGTAATCGGTAGCAAGACTGGGAACTGCTATGACTGGAATATACGAGAAGCAGATATCAGTCAAGAACGAGTATTCTAGAGATCTTCATAAATGTATAAATAGTTGAAGTAATACCCTGATAGTTAGCCGTAGGGAAAATTATAAACTACCTTCGTATATCTGCTTGCTCCAGCATCGACACTAGAATCGTGACAGGAAGGTAGCCAACATCCGACACGGCAATGATGGACTCTAAAGTTACAAGAATGGGGAATAAAGATGGATATGAGTACTTTGTGTTTCCCTTGTCTTCCGACCTCGCCTCGCTAGCGCTGCAGGTTCCTGGAGGATTCTTCCCACGCGCACAGTTTCCATTGCTACCATTTATATTTTTTTGGGTGGAATGATCCACGGAAAAGGTAGCTAAATTTCATGGAGAAACACTGAACTGAGTGGCTATTTATGACGGGCAATATATCATCGATCTTTCAAGTAACAGAGGAGGAAAGAAGCACTGCAAAAGGTGCGGCCTGGGCCAGAGAAGAGCCCAATATGCTAGGTAATCTATGACTCAAGCAGTTCAATAAACATACTCCTCCCTCACACTCTCTTTTTCTGTCAGACAGATAACCCTAAATTTAAATATTGTATCATGATGTCTAAGTTGAGTAGTTTACAAGCAAGTAAACTGGGCTGATGGATCAAGGGCAATAACTTAGTCATGCAAATGTTACAATTAGCAACTAGACGGATGGCCAATTTCCTACGCACAAATCACTTGTTGTTTCACTCCTTCTATTGCCCATGATGATGTAACAGCCAACTTTAGAACCATGTATAGAACGGAGATTTGAGCAGTTCGTATGGGCAATCTAATAGTCTGTCTATATTTGGAATTAGTAGGATACTCAAGATGTATATAGTACCTAGATATATTCCTCATGGGAGAGGATAATCAATTCAATCAACTCTGAGAGAGATTCATACTAGTGTAACTTTGCTCAACATTTTCTCATCACTACAAGAGCTCACGTTCAAGGGTCTTTGATCGAACGAAACTTACAGGTATTCGTGTTTGCAAAGCACAAATTGAGCTGCGATCGGCTGTCTGTTTCTTTATTAACGTACTATACAATCGGCAGCCTTTGCAAGCTTGGTGAAGCTTGAGCATGAGTGTGGCAGGGCTGGATCGGGCTTCAATGCCATTAATCTGATTAACCCGGCTTTACCTGCGTGACCGGAACCATGCCAAAATGATCATTAATCTGAGTTGGGGCAGACTCAAAACGATGGGTCTTACCGCGATTCGAACGCGGGGCCTCTCGCATTTGGCTTTGGGTGCTCCCTAAGCGAGAATCATACCTCTAGACCATAAGACCTGTTGTTTAACGGGAGCTATTGACAATTTTGAACTTTGATTATTCTAACGCCAAGTAAGTTCACGGATGTGACCCGGCCTTAATGCGCACGAAGGGATGCTTGGCGTGTCCTTTATTTGCATAGGGTTTGAATTGAGTACGCAGCCATATAGCTATTACACAACATTGGAGAAAATTTATAGAAAAATGACTCAATATACAAGAAAAACATTCATGCCTAGAATAACACTTGCAAGTATCACGGAATTTGGCCGTGATCTAATCGTCGAACGAAATGTACGAAGTTTATTCTGACTTCGTAAAGTAATGATAACGCAAGAATAACTACAATGCGGACTTTGAGCATCTAGAGAGAAGATATATTTTTAAAGGGGTTTGACTAAACGAACCCTGAGACCAACATCATACATGGGCCGCCTACAGTAGACATCAGGAATTTGCGCACTAGATCCCGTAACAGCGAGTACCACTGCGAAGTTATGGTGGCTTTTTCTTCACCCCAAGTCAACCCTCATCCGTGAATACCCACCCAGGGGAACGTCTCGAAAACCCTGAGTTATCCAGACATGCCTCCGTCATCCATTATCTTTCCTCCGCGCGAAATGTGATCTTTGGTGTCTCCTTTCCAAGTGGAGTAGGTGCCCAGGCAAATCAGACTATACCGAAGAACACCATCAGGATGCGGACCACGGCATCTTCCATCGTTTGCTTGTTTTGATAGTGTCAACTGCACTCTCGCAAGCGTTGCTTTGGCGCGCACAAAGCTCAATTCGTAAAACTCCCTGCAAAAATTCAAAATCACACGCCCGTCGAGATTGTATTCATCTTCCGTGTTATCTTGTAAACTTGTCCTGATCCTTCCCACGCTCATCCCAAAGAAGTGTCTCCAAGATTTGTGCGCCACACTTTGCTTCATGCGTCGGATGTAAATATAGGCGTGGGCGTGTATTTGGTGGTCAACTGAGGCCAGAGAAGGTCGAAGAGTGGGGTGTTCATTGAGATGAGGATGTACTTGGTCGTACTTGTAGGCTTGATGAGACTTAGGTAGGAGTCAAACTCGCTGAGAGCGAAAAAACGTCGTGGAGTAGTAATTTGAATCATTGCCTCTTAGGCCAACTTCTTTGATATTGCGAAATAAGACTGAACTTGGCTCTGGGAGAAAATTTCACTCCTAGATTCGTAGAGGACACCGCGTACAGGTGTTCAGTCTTGCCCTCCTCCCGTGTCGGACATGTGCCGGTCACGAATAAATATGCATTCATTCTAACGCCTCTCGGGACACGCTTACAGGCCTGATGCTGGTCGGAAGCCTATGTTAATGAAGGATGGAATTTGATGCATACCCCTACTCGATCTATGGCTACGAGGATCTGCCAAAGGCTATCTAAAAGCTGTGCTAACTTTATTTTTAGATTCGCCTACTTGGATAGTTTCCAATAGGTGACATGGGCTTGTCTTTCAAACCACCCGGCCAAGTTTTCGGGAAGCAATGAGAGTCTTCTTTTCGGCATCAGATTTTCATTGCGAATGCAGCCATCTAGCTATGACACGATATCAAAGAAAAGTACATTACGGATGACCCAATATACAGGAAGAGCACTCACGCCTCAGATTTCATTTGCAAGCACCTCTGCGAGTAATGAGAGTCGCGTGGGTGCAAGACGATCCAGGTTTAATGGTCAGACGCTGTTTCCATTGAAAATCTCCATGTTATGAGGGCCACATCATCTTTTCAAGACTCATGGACCGCGACGAGTCCTGCGCGCTCAGGAAACGCGCTCCATGGATGATCCTTTGGAAGACTGAAATGTCGCCCTCTCCTGATACACAATCTTTCTCATCACTTTACTTTTCTTTTGTTCGTATCCATCTACCTTCTCTAGACACTCAGACAGTCCGCTCTTGATCTTGTTAGTTGCAAATCGCTGTCTCCCTCTCCTGATAGATCCGCCCGTCGACCTCCATCGTATGCGATTTAGTCAACCAATTTCTCTAAAAATTATTCGTGGTACCTCACTTTCTCGGGCAAATTCCAAAATGCAGTTTATTTACATCCTCCTACCTCTATTCTATTCCGTCGGGTCTCTCGCTTCACCCGGACCCAATGACAAAGTAACTCAGTACAATTGTGCCAATCACATATACTCCGAAGCTGAGGTCGGAAATTTCTTCAAAGCTGCAGCAGTTGAACTTGCTAAAACTCAAATGGGACAACCACCCAAGATGCCTCTGTTAAACCCCTATGAACCTAAACCATCTTCTCCCTCGCTGAAACATGAATACTTCTCATTTTATGCTGCTAGGTTGAAAGGGTTGAAAGGCGAGCTTGCCAACAAGATTCATAGCACAAAAATACTTGCTAACCGAGCGGCCAGTGATGAAATTTGTTGTGATTAATGAAGCGCAGAAGCCCGTAAGCATGGCATGGGGAATTAACGCCAAATATCCGTGTGATAAGCGCATAGTTAAGACGAGTGAAGTAAAAAAACCGTGGAACAGTCACCGACAGGAGCGTTTATGGCGCGAGCACTTGGGACACCTACCCAGCAATCTAAGGAGGTAACTCTTATGATCCTACGCTGCGCAAGCACATACAGACTTCACAGATGAGGCTCAGTAATGATGTTGCATTACAATATCTTCGCAGACTTTTATTAATGCATGACTTGAATGTGAGTTTTGACAGGAGCAGGAGCTGAAGGATCAAGTAATGCCGATACGCAATATACAAGTACAGCCAACACTCAATGCGCGCATCTCAACAGAGAAAATGGGACGCGTGTATGAATAGGCACATTTTCTTCTTGTGAAATATGCGTCCATCTTGAGCGATCTATTTGTCCTTAGATAGTCAGGATAAATTTGCTCGCCAACTAACCTTTACCTTCCACATCTTTCTCAACACAAACTATCCCCTTACAATCCCTACTCACTCAACATCATAATCGTGATGATGCCCAAGTCCTGAATGTGTTGTATCCTTGGTGCAAGCGTAGTTTGCTCCAGCCACCCGTGACATCCTAATTCATGCTGGGACATTTTGTCTGCAGCGTAATTTCTGCAGTTTTAAGTCCAGATTTCCTTCGCCTTTCATCGACAATGAGGATCACGGATAAGATTTAACCGCCACCTATCGTCCATTAGCAGTGTCCAGTGACCAGACGATAATATTCCCATCTTCAATGCGCATAGAGAGCTCTGATCAAAGTTGACTGAAAAGGCTTTCGTAGGGTTTTGATCTCCTTTTAGCAGCTAATTTCAAATGTTATGAAGGGAATGCTCAGACATATCGACAACAGAATGCGAGCACAGATTGACACGTAGACCGTGACTGTTTTCTCTTAATGCAGAATCTGTCTGAGGGCAGCATGGAGTTTGAATTTGAAATCTTGTACATGACGCGAAGCACCCAACTTTTCTTAAGACGTTGCACGCGCAGATGGGCCCTGAAAGTGCATTGCCAGCTACGTGACCGGCAATAAAGTTAGGAGCAACAAACGAAACAGCTGGCTACAGCAAATGTCTAAGTCACTGTGCCCTGCGGGCTGGATGGTGCAGTGGTACACCATTCGGGCCGCTCTCTCAAGTATAATTTGGGTAGCTTGAACACCAACCTCATTCAAGACAGGAGATAGCTGGTTCAAACTCAGTAAGACCCAGTAAGACCCACATACCACACTCTCTCGCGGTGATATTGCACTTGTGATGATGATGAGAGCACGCTCGCATCACCATAGGTTTTACCCGCTTCTCCTTGTGGTGGGTTTGGACAGAAGAGATTAGACGCCGTATGGGTAAACCTCGAGTGGTATCTGCAAATGAATTCTGAGTGTGAGCGTTCTAACCGTCAAATTGAGTCATCCTCCTTTAAGTACATATCTTCCGATAAAAACCTGCATGGGCCTCAGGCGCCAAATCAGGATAATAAATAATTTATTTACCTACGATGCCCTGCGCCGCGTCCCTATCTCCTCCCGAGTTAGAAACAATCTCAGCATAGTCACCTCTCATTCTGTTCATTCTTCGGCAGACCGTATCATCTGCTTGTAGTTATGAATTGAATGAGCTTCTGCCATCCCTTCTTCCCTATAATTTCCCTGGCCCCGGGTGGCGCCAATTTCTCACAGCTTCTCCAACGTTACAAAGCAGGTCGGCGCTCTGAAAAATGCCAGGGCCTTTTCTCTCGGCCATAAACGCATTTCAGATCTTCATGTTCGGGGTTGAAACGTCGATGGTAGTCGGCGTAATGCCCGTGGCCTGTCCTTGCCGCAATAAGACGATGGTACGGCCGTCTTGGTAAAGCCAGTTCCGGTGGCCGTTTGCAGCGCGTGAAGAGGTCCGGATCTTTGTATCGCTTCGGCCGATACTTCTGCCACCACTCATCCACGAGCTCTTGGCTGCGCAGTTTAACCCACCTCCTTAATGCCGCAAAGGTTAGGTTCTGATCTTCTCTACTGGGCGCAGCTGAGGTTAGTGACCCTTTATTGAGAGCTACCATGGCTGATTTGGCCAGCTTATCGGCCTCTTCATTGCCTTGGATCCCCACATGACCGGGTATCTAGCGTATTTCCACACGCTTGTTGTGTCTCAGCGATGATAACTTGTCCACCACTGCCTGCGAGGAGTTAGATATTTCTCTTTCGAGCGCCCGAGCGGCCACTTGGTTGTCCAGAAGAATGCAGATTAGTAGGTCTTTTCCTACCTCTATTGCAGCCTTCAAGGTTTTCATGGCACCTACAACTTCTGCGTCGAATACCTCTGCTCCGGGAAGTGGACCGTAGCCACTTGCAACTAGCTTGCCTCCTTGGTATACTACATACCCCCAAGCTGATTTCCGGGACCCGACGATGATCCATCAGAGAAAGCGAAGACTGTGTTAGCTGGAAGGAAAGCTAACCGACGCTTTATGCTTCCAGACCTAGCTTCATTTTCTCGACTACATGGAATCAACACTGGGGTGCCGCGTGGAATGTATAGCTTTCTAGGGCCTTCGGCTGTCGGATCTTGACGCACGCTCATTTGCAGGCGTGTCATGTACCGTTCTGGTTGTCTGAACAGTCGACTTCTTCGTCCTGATCTAAGACCTAAGTTTCTTATTGTCTCTTTCGGGTCCTCAGCCACCTGAAGGGCTAGAGGCTGCCAGGCATCTATCCTTCGCATGCGTGCTGCAGACCGCAGCATCTTTTGCTGAAGAATTATCGATGCCGGGGGTATTCTCGCTTCACGATGAAGAGCGCTATTGAGAGTGTTACTCTGATAGCTTTCATTATCGTTTTTTCCAGCAGGGATATACGCCAGCCTACTCCAGTGCCGACTACCTTATCTCGCACTGTGGTTATTCGAGTGACACCCGTCCACCACGCTTGTACCCCATATAGAGCTGTGATCAGAACGCATGCATGTACTGCACGAATCAAGGGTCCAGGTGCTGCACCGTGTTGAGTTCCGTTTACATGTCGTAAGAAATGGACCAGACGATTAGCCTTTCCTGTCCATTCCGGTACATCCTACTTGAGGTTCAGCTGAGTATCGAGCTAGACTCTTAGCCACCGGATGTAAGGTGACGGTTCGATCCGACAATCTTTCACCAACATGAAGAGGTCAGCCGTATTGATTATCTTTCTAGGTCCTCCTTCGGCTACTAGAAATACTGAATTTGCAGGGTCGAATCTAATCCTATGTTCTCTTGTGAGAAGAAAAAGGCTGTCGAGGTTATCTTGGACTGCGGAGAAAGCTTCCGCCACGTTGTTTCCAATTCTCACGATGGCTACATCATCAGCATAACCAACCCTACTCCTTAGACCACGGTCCTCAGAAATCACAGTGATATTGTTCGGATTAGGTCCTGGTCAACAATGCCTAGCCTAATTGTGCTATGTTGCAGGCTACTGTTCCAATTATTCATGGGGTCATCATCAGGGTTGTGAATAGTTTCGGTTTGGTGTGGGTTGTTAGATAAATACCTAAGCGTGTCGTATAGTAGTCAGACATGCGACTCGAGTAGCATATGCACGGTAAACCTCAACCTCAAAATGATGATACGAATCAGGTTTTACATTCTACGTCCTGTATGGCTAGCGTAGTTGGAATATGGGGAATTTACCTGTAGATAGATAGAGACATTGTAGCCCTCTGATAGTTGGGACAAGTCTTCTACAATATTATATCGGAATCAAATCTAGCCGCTCATTAAGCAATCTCATGAATTATTTCCAATGTCTGTGATAACAGAAATACACATACAATGTTGACAACCAACTTTAATGTCAATAAGTTATGAGCCCAGAAACTGTCGACAACAACTTCAATGTCGATAAGATATAGAGTATGAAGAGTAGTGGCAAGCCCTGAGGCACTCTACCTTCAAGTATCTTCTCTGTGGCTCCACCATGGTATCTCACCTAGACTTTTCGTTGGCAAAGAAAGGTCTGAATGAACCGGCACAGGGTTAGTGGCCAGCCTTGCTCTCGAAGGTGTTTGAGCAGTTGGTTGTGAAGGGCTGTATCGAATACATGAATTTAAATTTGATCAAATTCAACGTTGTGCCTATCTACAGCTCGTGACTACAGTCACATGCTGGACTGCTCAGTCCCTACAGAACTACCGGACGCTTTGGTGCGCCCTGAAGCACCCATAATTCACAAAAGATCTCGACCAGCCGTCTGTCATACCTTCACTGTCTAAAAATGTAATTTATAACGTTAAGCGAAACTTGGTGGGATTGCCTAATCTGGAATGTTGTAACAGAAAGTCAGTGAATGTGTACATAGTCTCCTCTCTAGGAATGTGCTAGATAGTCTATGACCCAAGTAGTACAAGAAACATACATCTCTCTCCTCTCTGGGGTATAGAAAAATAAGAATCATGGAAGAAACATCCATATTGTTGCAACAAGCTTGTAATTATATAACTCCGTAGGAGTAGTCCGACAATCACCTCTCCGACCTCCGATAGCCCCTCAGCCGAAACCTTGCCTGACAAATAAGAAGCGGCATGGTTAATCAGAGAGTGGCTACCTACCTTGTACCCGACTCTCTCTGCATTTATATTGATAGTTCTGGGGCGTCCACTCACAGAGTATCATGGGCCTTTTCGACCTTTATCAGTGGCACATGAAACGGTAATTGAACAGAGTGGCTCAGGCAAAATTTTGATTGCGGAGGCTCATGGAGCTTTAGCTGCTCTTGAAGCAATCACTACCAGGAAGTGAGATGAAGGTCGTAGCGCCATCTATTTCCTGCTCGAAAATTCTGCGGCTACCGAGGCTTTACTGACGGGAATAACAGGCTCATCATCCCGGCGGGTCCAAAAGTTTTTCCAAATGACCGCAAGAGCAGCTGCACCTCTCAAAGTAGGGTGAATCCCGGGCCACGCAGGGCCACGCAGGAAATTAAATGGCTTAAGAACTCGATTGAAATGAGTTTGACTCATTGGAAAACGCTAGGACCACTCATGGTGTGATGGCCTTCGCCTCATCTGGACGGAAAGCTCGCGAATTAGCCAGGCAAATGTTGACGGACTGGTGGCACTCGAATCGCCCCAAACATTACGCCGACCTTGAAC